ATTCTTTATGATTGCTTCCTCCAAATTCAAATTTACACTTCCAAGCCAAAAGACTACTTTAGCAAAAAGTTTAGATTCTTCCCTAACTCTAAACTTTTTGGATAGGTGTAATATTGTCTTGGAAGTGCAAATTTGAGTTTGGAGGAAGCAATCACAAAGAATCTCGTTGTCTGCTATGAATATATATATATATATATATATATATATATATATATATATATATATATATATATATATATAAACTGAAGTTGAAGACATCTCCTGCTTGGAGAAAACTTGGACACCAACATTATTTGACTGATTCATGTTTGAAAACACATCCTTAGTGATTGTCTCACGTATGATATTGTAAGCAAAACCTGAAGATATCGGTCATAAGAATTAAATGTCTACAAAAATTGTAACACCCAAAGTTTGAAAAGCCAAGAAAAGAAAGAAAACCCCAATTTTAAGGGGAGACTCGGCGAGTCCAAGGAGGGACTCGGCGAGTCCGAGCGGGATCCGGGTCGAGGAGTAAGCGACCGACTCGGCGAGTCGGCCAAGGTGACTCGGCGAGTCTGGTCTGAGCGAGGAAAACCCTAAAATCGGGACTTGGAGCCTATTTAAACGCCTCATTCTCTTCCCTAAGGTTCCTTTAGTGCCTCTTTCACCCAGGACATCAAACCCTAGCCGTCATATCCTTTGATTGAGCCATTTAATTGACTTGGAAGGTGCATTGAAGCTTGAAGAAGGAAGAAGGAGCTTGGAGGAGCAAGAAAGGACTATAGATATGGGATTGTGAGTTCATTCTAAGCATTTTGAAGGTAATAAACAAGTTCTTGGACCCCTCTTTGCACCTAGATCTATGTGTTGTTGTTGGAGTTTTTAGCCATGATGTTATTCTTTCAAGTTAGAAGCCAGATCTGAAGTTGCTACTTCAGATCTAAGCATGTAATGGTCTTGAGAAGCACAAAGTATCAGCCCTTGAGTGGATCATGAAGCCTCTTTGCCTTAAACCCTAGTTCATGGTGTATTTTGCTTAGATCTCCTTCTCTACACGTAAAGTTTGCAACTTTACGTGAAGAATAGGCTTGGGAAGGGTAGATCTACAGTTTGGAGTCCATGCATGACTCAATAGCCCTCTGCATGTAGAGGGATTCGAATGGACTAGGTGAGTCCTTTGAGTGGACTCGGCGAGTAGCATGAAGTAGTGGAGTAACTCGACGAGTGGGATGAACAACTCGTCGAGTCAGATAAAGATTGCCTTGTACTCGGCGAGTTTGTTCTTGGACTCGAGGTTGCAAACCCCAAACCCTTCGAGTCAAGGCCCAGATTAGTGAGTGGAGTGGGGACTCAGTGAGTTGGTCAGGACAGAACTCAGAAATCAGTAAACTCGGCGAGTCAGTAGGCTGACTCGGCGAGTAGGGTCAATATGGAAGGTTGACTTTGGCTAGGACTTTAACTTTGATCGGAGTTGAGTTAGTTGACTTTTAGAGGACTGTCAGGCTAAGTGTCGCTTTGTTATTGGTAGCTCGGAGAGTTAAAGGAGCAACATTTTAGACGATGGTTGGTTAGCAGTCCGAGGGTTACCAGCAGAATTCAGCAGTTCAGGTGAGTTTCCTTCCAGTAGAAACGGGTCTAAGGCCATAATATCGGCCCGTTCAGTTAGCAGTAGTTTCCGGACTTCGGTCCGATGTAGTGGTTAGTATGTTTGATGCCTTCGTGGCTCAGACAGGATTTATGTGTTATGTGTTATGTATTATGTGTTTCGGGCTACGGCCCGATGCAGTATGCAGTATATGTGTTCATGCTAGTTGATATGTTATGTTATACTATGTTCAGTCAGTTTCCGGATTTCGGTCCGATGCAGGGGGCAAGGCCCCAGTTAGTCCGGACTTCGGTCCGATGCAGGGGACAAGGTCCCAGTCAGTTTTCCGAACTTCGGTCCGATGCAGGGGGCAAGGCCCCAGTTAGTCCGGACTTCGGTCCGATGCAGGGGACAAGGTCCTAGTCAGTTTCCGGACTTCGGTCCGATGCAGGGGGCAAGGCCCCAGTTAGTCCGGACCTCGGTCCGATGCAGTGGGCAAGGCCTAGTATGTGCTTTATATGTTATTGTATGGTATGTGGTAGTTTGGGGGGGCTCACTAAGCTTCGTGCTTACAGTTTCAGTTTTTGGTTTCAGGTACTCAGTTCTCAAAAGAGGAGCTCAGAAAGATTGCAGTGCACACACCATAGTCAGCTAACCTGGGATGTTTTACTCTGATAATAAGTTTGTATTTCGAATTAATGCTACGAAATTATGTTATGATTTATGATACGGTTTTTATGAATATGGTTTTAGTAATGTTTTAAAAAGAAAATTTTAGTCGTGATTTTTGGGATGTTTCAAAAACATTAATGATTAAATGTATATAAAAATATTAATGATTAAATGTGTACAAACTGAAAATTATATTACTCTATTAAGTCATTTTATTGGTTTAATTTAGAATAGCTGGTTATAAAATTAAATGTATAAAAAAAAAAGTTAAATGGATAATAAAATTAGATGTATAAAAAAAAGTTAAATGGATAAATATAGAAAAAAAAACTCGGTATACAAAATAAAAATAAATTATCTTATTAAATCAATTTCATATCTTATCAAATAAATTACAGTGAATGTGAATGTGAAGGCAAAGTCCTTACCGGTGGGCTTACACTTCTTTATTAAAAAAACATCATAAATGGTCTCTGTGTTTTTTCAGATTCTGAAGTTTAGTCCCCGTGGTTTAAAAATCTCATAGATGGTCCCTGCGTTTTCAAAACTTTTGACGATTGGTCCTTATTGCTAACTCCGTTAACTTTTATCCGTTAATTGAGGGGCATTTTCGTCATTTCACACCACAGGGACCATTTATGATCTTTTCAGTTATTTTTTAAAAAAAAGAGAATAATATGCGGATGGTCCCCTCTCTCTCTAAAACCAATGAAAGGGTTAGTAGATGATTCAAACGATCGGTTTTTGGGAACCTTAGTTCCCGTCTTCCAACAGGTCGAGAAGTGGAGGATACAAATGAAATTAGTCAAATACATATGAAGGGAAATGCGAAGGAAAACAATCGGCGACTCTTCGTTCCTCTACCGTCATCGACAGCAAAGAAGATGAAAGGGAAAGATCCTCCGATGCTCGTCTTCGTCGGATTAAGGAAGAGAAACACAATGACGATATCAGAAGTGTTTTGGGGTGATGTTGTTCGGAAGGAGGACGAGGGGTCACTCGATGGTGAATCAAACGCTTTGAAGAAATCGATTTGCAGTTGACAGTTTGAAGTCAAAATTAGTTTGATTGATTTCGTTCTTGCACATCTGATATCAAATTAGAGATGGTGATTTGTTCGCATCTGGTAAATCGGGGGAGTCGACAGCCGTGTTCACGATTTTTTTTTTCTAAAAACGAAAAATCAAAGGGACGTGCTTCGTTACTTGAATCAAGAATTGCTCACTTGTTTAGTATGTTGGATGGACTTCGATTTTGAATGATGAGTGATAATCGAAGGTTTGCTAGCTATTGGAAGTTTGTTGATTGATATCGACTGAGACGTAAAATCGATCTGAATTTCGATGGTTTGGATGGATGAAAAACGAAAGTCAAAGAATGATTGATTGAAGAAAGGTAATCGATTGTTCATATCATTGATAGATGAGTTGGTTTGGCTGCTATGGCTTCGCTATCTGATCGATTTTGGAGTCGACATGAGACAAAGGTTAAGAACGAAGGCTGTGAAATCGATTCTTGGCAAACAATGTTGATGTTGATATGGTTTACTGATTTGCAATCAATGGAATCTAAGGGTCGAATTTCTTGAAAACGAACGAAGCCATGGTTCAATGGAAATTGTTTGCAGATAGTCGACTAGGAATGATGTTGTACGAAGTGTTCCTGGTTGTTGTTTGGACTGTGATAACGATTTTGAGTTATTGCTTGAAGAAACGAAGTCTGATTTTGGGGTTGATTGATTCGAAGGGTATTTGCCTTGGGTTTGGGAAGAACTGTAAGAACGAAAATTTGGGTTTAATGACTAACGAAAGAATTTTGGTTTGGGAACGAACAGGCTAAATTTTGGGGAAGCAATGATGTTTGGTTTTTTCTTTTTTAATGATGTTTAGTTTTTTCTTTTTTTTTAAATATATTTAGTTTTTTTTTTTTTAAATAACTGAAAAGATCTGGTTCCTGTGGTGTGAAATGACGAAAATGCCCTTTAATTAACGGACAAAAGTTAACGGAGTTAGTAATAAGGACCAATCTTCAAAAATTTTGAAAACACAGAGACTATCTATGAGGTTTTTAAACCACAGGGACTAAACTTCAGAATCTGAGAAAACACAGGGACCATTTATGATGTTTTTTCCTTCTTTATTATAAAAGGCCGATTACAACAATTATAAAGATTGTATGCACCGATTACTATAACAATAAAATTATTATTTACCATGCTACAAATTATACAGATTTTATAATGTATAAAATTTCTAAAACCAAAAGTTATCATTATTTTTCTTAATATTTCTATGTAATGCAATTTAGAGGATTACATTTGCATGATATATTCAAACAAGAACAAAATAGTTTTCTTTGGTCAACCGTTTAGTGGTATGTTTAGGTGTATATAAGCTATAGTTTATTTCTTAAGTCTAGTATAAATAGTCCATATTTTCTTTTTTGGTTTGTACCATTATAATAATCTCCTCCTAAAAATAAATGTATTTTTACCAAAATACCTTTCATTATCAATTAAATTATCATAAAATTAAATACAACTACTATGAAATTAAATCAAACAAAATGGTAAAACTATCATTTCATTTAATAAAGTTAATGCTAATTAATGTTTCCTTAATCTATGTGTTTTTCGTCAATAGACAATACAATATAATCTTTATCAAAACTACTAACATAGCCAATAAACCAACATTTTGAAATTGACATGACTTATTATAAACTCATGAGTTTTTTCCACTAAGGGGATGTTTGATTTCATCTGTCCTGTAAATACAAAATTTTACTGGCTCATGACTGACCCAAAGATCTTACTCGGTTCGTTCCAAATAACTGGAAAAACAACTCGTGCTCTCTTCTTCCCTTATCTGCCCTCATGACCTAAAAGAAAAATACGCAGCAACAAAACACGATTCTCACTCCAGATTCCCTTTTCAGATAGAGAACAAACTTCTCCTGCCAGAGCTGCGTCAATAGGTATGTTTCGTCTTTTTTTTTTCAACTTGATTGATTGGCTGTTCTTCTCTATATGAAATATGTGACTTGTAACTGATTTTGGTTCCTAGATATGCGAAATTTGAGGATAAAAAAACCATGGTTCATTTTTCTGATTTTGATTCTCTATCTGACGTAGTTGACAATTATCAAACGACACTTAAGTTTTCCAAATATATATTTATATGGTTATTTCTTACTAAGTCATTTTTAACCTACATTCTCTAAAACAAAAATTTCCCATCAAAATTTCACTATCAAAGTAGCACACAAAACATTTTGATGCTCTTATAGATCAATACCTATTACAAAATAAATTCAAGATTCTATTTCACTTAAACGAACGACTTCTTTCAACAACCGATTAACTGTATTCTTTATATCATCAGGCACTTCTAATTCATTAGGTACGGCTTCAAGGGCATACAAAGTTATAACCCTCATCACCACAGTCAAGTCAACATTTTTCGCCCCCTTTTTCCATACGCTTTGGTTAACAAATTTGCACGAATCTTTTAGCGCGCATTTGCTACATACCTAAAAGGCAAATAGAATTAAACTAGGAAAAATCCTTTCTTTTCTTTTTTTTTTTTTTTTTTTTTGTCTTTAGTGTTCTTACTATTTTAAAGGCTAAATGCAAGAAATAGTTTGTATTACACCATTCTACTTTCATTTATTTCTATTACAACATTGTATTTTCAATTTTTTTACTAACACGACTTAACTATCCAAATTGCATCATGTGAGATGTAAATCAGGTACACAGCCCAATCCACATTGGAATTAATACTCATTTACTCTCTACTTTGAAAAATCTACCCAATTATAAAAGTCCAACTTTTTCACTTGCTTTGTATTTGGACAACATTGCTATAACTATAGGTTGATTTTTAGAAAGTAAATGTTGTAATATGAAGAAATGAAAGTAGATTGTTAAAATAAACAAATCAACAAATGTACGTTGCTATTCTTGCATTTACCCCTTATTGTAATTTATAAGAAAACCTAATGAAAGCGAATCACTAACGGGTTCTTCTTGAATCCCAAAAGAATAGCGCATGGCTTTGGAGGAAAAAACAATCTTTCTACCAAGGGAAGGGCATCCGAATTGAGCAACCTTTTTCAAATCACCATTTGACAACCACCTAAATCATCAAAATTTAGAAAAAAAGTATTAACTTTTCAATCCTAATGTTTCTTAATTAAGCTTTTCTGATTGCTCAAGCTTCAAAGAAATTGCTTCATTAACTACTAAAGAAAGGAAAAGGGAAGAACTTGTACTTACCTGTAGATGTCTCGATGATCTTTGGCAAACTTTTCAGCTGCAAACTTCAAGAAATCTCGGCCATAGTTGTTCTCAAAACAAGAAACATCGAATTTGTTGTTTAGGAGGAAATTTGCGTTCGATAAGTACCCTTTTGAATGCAAAAAATCAGCGAACATCGCCATATCTGGTGATAGCTTCTTAAATTCCATTGATTTCTCTACTTTCTTTGTCTCTGTTTTTGATTTCCCTCTTTGATCAGTACTCATAAACAAACTCGACAATATCCTCACACCCTTTTTTGATTCTTGATCATCAATGTGGCCTTCTTCACCCGTTTTTGATAATCCGACTGCTTCTGTGAAAAGAGTGTCTAGTGGCTTCGAAAATATACTTGATAAAGACTTTGTTTCTTTCGTTGAATCTTTTTTATATCTTCCCAATTCCACCTCCAATTTTCTCAAATTTTTCTTGAGCTTTCCCTTTTCATCTTCACCGTTTTCAGTGTCTGCTTTAGATAACCCAACTTCTTCTGCGAAAAGGATTTCCAAAGGTTTCTTTGACTTCCCATTTGGTTCTTGCGTAGCGAATTTGTGTTGGAATTGAGAAGAAAGCGATACGCTCCGGCTAAAAATAGAACTGGGTGACGATGATTTGGTATTGACGAAAGGAATCAAGTGGGTTTCAGTGTGTAAATTAGGGTTTAAGAGTGTGCGAATTTGATGCAAACGGAGGGTTTTTGGGCAGATCATTTGTGGGTTTTTGTTGTGGTTAAGTGAAGTATTAATTTGATTGCTAGGGTTTAAGGGAACAGAAGATTTTGGGAGGCGAGATCCGTCCACGTCATCAAACTAATATGAATTGTTCTTAAACTCTAATTACGATTTAGTATTACCCGTAACTCGTTAATGTATTTTTCATATGATTTATTGTTAAATATTGTTAACATAATTTACCATTAAATTATATATCGGCAATCTTTTCCGGCCAAACACCATCTACTTAGCCACCACCGTCAACCTCCTACTACAATCATCCACCTTGTGCAACAAACACCATATTTCATTATTAGAAAAGGAACAATTAAGTTATGTTTTCCTGATTGGTTCATTCATATTGGAATCACCGGTACACAATGAAAGTCGAAGTAGAGTGATCAAATTTCAGACATATTATCTTCTGGATCTCAATGAAGTTAGTGAATGATCCAAAGGGGATTTTCTTTAACGGTATCAAAGTTGACGAATAAAAAAAAATTATCAGTTAAATATTGAGGGTTCAAGTCTCTGAGGTGGAACCAAAATTAGTGGTATGCTCATATGGATGCAATGGTTGGCCTTGACTCACCCCACAGTAAGTTGAGTTCTAATATATACTTGTTACATATGGTATATACCATAAAAAACTTGAAATTGAAAACTACTTTGCCGATTAAACATTTGATGTTGCCTAGGGCTAGGGGTGAGCAAACCCAAACCAAGAAACCAAAGAACCGACTAAAACCGATGAAACCGAAACTGAAACAAACCGACGGTTTGAGTTTAAATTTTTTAAAAACCGAAACATCGGGTTCGGTTTTTACCAAAAACCGACCCATCCAACCATAGAAACCGACTCATACTTGATTGTGTTTTGGTTGTAATAGACTGTTTCGGACTTTGATTGTGACTTGTAATAGTGTTGTAAGACTCATGTTTTTGAAGTATTTAACTTAAATTTGGTGTTTTTTTGAAGTATTTACTTGTTGTTTCATTTATGGAAAATGGGTTAAAACCCAAAACCCATGAGTTTAAAGCCAAAACCCGTGAGTGTATGGGTTAAACCCAAGAAACTGAAAAACCGCCCAAACTGACCTCAGAACTCGAGAAACCAAACCGACTAGAAACCGATCCTATTGGGTTCTGAAAACCAGAAACCGATCATTTATGGGTTGGGTTAGGTTTTGATCTAAAACCGACCCATACACAGCCTTAATATTGCCACTTTTTTGAATAGTTCCCACGTTTTTTATTTCATATCAATTTCATTGTGAATTTGTTATTCAAGGTTAGTATAATATTTTTTTCTATTATCTTAATTACTTAACTATTTGTTTTTATTTTCATCCTACACAATTTTAAGTTGACTTATTTCTTACCAACTTAGATTGGCATTGATTTTATATATTTATCAAAAGTCTCTAATAAATTAGATTATTATTTGTTGTAATGAATTAGTTAGTTGTATCATTGTATTATATGTATTATTATTATATTTAATTTTTCTTTTGTATAAGAATTTAATAGTATGTTTGTAATTGAAAATATTTGTAATTTAAGTGAATTTTGTTGAGCAATGAGAACAAAGAAAACATGATTAGATTCGTCTTTATGAATAATGATTTACCAAGAGGCGAGAAGAAAACCACAACAGAAATGTATAATTAAGTATCTTCAAAGGATAAGAGAGCGTTGTACGCAACTAAAATGAAGATTTTACTTTAGAATGCATACATTGTTACATTTTGTTATCATTTCAACTATTCTGCTACTCGTTCATATTTTCTAAAATTATTTAGCATACCTTAAAACAAAATTCTGGCTACGCCACTAAACGAAACGTGTATATTTAGGAGTATGGTAGTGGGTGCATGTGCAATCCGTACAAAAAAATGAAGGGTTATCCCATGTCTTGCTTTACGCGATTGCTTGCTATCGAGACATTGCATGTGTGATGCCTAGCAAAAGCATAAAAGACAGTGAACGAGAAAACAATATCGTCTTCAGTAGTTTTGACCCAACATATAAGTAAGTCTGTAAGTGTGAGTGTGAAGTAGAGATGAACATTAGCGATCTCAGACTAATCTCAAGTCGGTCTTGAAACGGTGTTGTTTGGAACCAGTCTCAAAATGGTTCGATCTTTTTTAGACATTCCCAGACAGTCTTGTAACATTCCAAAAATCATAGTAAAAAATTTCATTATCAAAACCATTTAATATTTCATAAATCATACAAAACATTGTTTGCATAAGCCATAATCATTAATCAGAGTATCCCAAAATTATCTATCAATAAAATATCGAAGGGTGATGTGCACAATCACGCCTTTGCCTTGCACCGATCATCCAATGTACCTGAAACCATGAAATCAAATTGTAAGCCAAAGTTTAGTAAGTTCCCCCAAAATACCAGCACACAATACCAACAAGAACAATACATGCAATATGGTTTGTTGGCCTATGGCCTTAACCCAACCATCCAGAGTTTGTTGGCTTACAGCCTCAACTCAACCATCATGGGTTTGTTGGTCTACCGCACAAAGCAACACACCTCAACCCACTCATCCAGGGTTTGTTGGCCTCCCACCTCAACCCAACCACCAATATGTCGACATATGCAACATATATACCATAATTAACAAATACAAGTAATCATACAAATCTGTCAATCTAACAGGTTACTATATCATTAACACATCCTATATACCAGGATAAATATCATAATCTAGTGGACCGGCTTTGGTGCCTTCGAGCCATGCGTACAGTACGGAAGACTCACCTCAAAGTTCAAAAGATAGACGAATTGATCACTGCTCTAAATACCGGCTCTACATATCACATATACGACAAACATGGACTAAGCCTCAATCTATTAATAAAAATACCCCGAATGACCTAAGGTCAAACTTTCTAAGAGTCACATGTTAACGGTCAAAAGTCAAAGGTCAACGTTTAGTTGGTCGCCACGTTGTAGCAGAAAAACTTAAAGCGTAAAAATATGGTAATGTAATCGGTGAGAGGCCATATATGTAAAAATATGGTAATGTAATCGGTGAGAGGCCATATCGATGGATGTAATTGGTTTTATTTGGCAAAAATGATAAATAAATTGAGTTTGTATAACTTAAAGTGTAATATGGCCAATTTAGAATTGTGTCATTCCGTTTATGATTGGGATATGATTTTGTTTTTGTATATTTTGACCCCATGTGAAGGTATGCGATTTCCGTCTTTTATATTATATTAATTGAAAATCCAAAATTATTTAATTTCTAACTATGTTTTAGGCCATACACCAAAAATGGTTTGGATTGTTTTGTAGGCATCCAAATATGAATATGTGTTAAGGATTTAATAAATCAAGTCCGTGCTTTTCATTCATTGACATGAATGCATTATTAATTCATTCTTTATTTGTTGGTTTGTCCCATTTCAAAATTGATAATGCATATTTTAAATCAATTATTATTTTATATAATTTTAAATTGCCTATCAACACTAGTCGACGAATCCTCTATTTTTCTCTTTTTCTCGTGCAACCACCGCCCCTCACTCCATCGACAATCTCGGAAGCACATAATGCCCCTTCTGCCCTTGGCCCCTCCTCTCTCTCATCTCCTTTCCTTTGCCACCACTTGCAAAAGCTACTCCGCCAAAACTAGCTCCTCCCCTCATCCGCCAGAAATGGCCTCATCACTACCACTCATATCCTACGCTTTTTATGTCAAGTATCAAAAAATTCGATAAAGTAAGTGTTTGTGTATAGACATTAGTATTGTTTTATATTATAGTTAGGCCCATGACCCTTGATCATCATCCTCAAACTTATATTGCGAGTGAAAGTGTAACCATATATGGGTTTGAACATTTCTAAACAAATATGGATTTGATACCGTGAAACCATAAGCATAAGCAGATTATGACTAAGTTCATAAGGCTGAAACATATTTGTTGTTCTATATACATCTTATGGTGATGATTATATTTTTTCATCGAAAACAACCAATCATGGTTTAGATATGAACATATTTGTTGTTTTATATACATTTTACCGGATGGTTACTATTGTTTCAACGAAAAGGACCAACCAATTTAAACTATAAGGATCATTTCATATAAATTTTTTAAAACTATAATAAATCTATAAGCAAATGTCAAACGACAGGACATAACTATAATTTAGAAGATGAAACATGCAAAATTTAATGTAGAGCTGGAAAAAAATGATGTGTCAATCCAACCAAATATTAATGGGTTAGTTGAGATTTTCAACCAATCTTATTTAAATTAGTCAACGTGTTTAATCCATTTATGGAGTAAAAATTATTAACATGTTTTTAACCCGTAAACCTGTTTAAATTAGATATACATTAAATATTATTATTCGATATTTTAATTATAATATTATATTATTATTTATATTTTTAAAAACGAAATCATAATTCTCATCGGAGATTAACGAACCTATTTATGTAACAATCTAATAGGTTGAATTAAATTGAAAAATTTCAACTATTTAAATAAATAAATCGAAATACTGAGTTACTTCAAGCCATTCAAATTCAAACTGACTCATTTTTCAGTTATTTTACCGTTTTAATTTTTAGCATGATTGCATTTTCGAGTTTAGCTATTGGATAAGGATGCCAAGTATAACACGTGTCCAGTTACTATAGGCTTAATTTATTTTTATACATGTTCTTTTACAAAAAAAACAGTATAGTATTTAGTATATAGTCACGATGATCACGTTACTACCGGCAATCGTACCCTCTCACTTCTCCCATGTCAAAACTCAAACCACCACAAACCACCGCTTCCGTACACCTCCTTCTCCGATGACACCGTCGCATCAGCCACCACCACCGCCACCGCCTCCCTCCTCACCTGTGTCAACAGCTAGCAAACACATTACCACCTCGAATTCTGCCTCCACTTCCTCTCCCACCCCATCGGATGTGTGGAACTACGTCTGGATTCCTTTTCTGATTTCTCTCTGTAAAGAAGTTAGTTCTGCTAAACCTTCTTCCGAGTCAACTAACGTCTTGACTTCTGACTCCGTTTCTAGACTGTCGTCTACGTGTCCTACGACGGATTCCAAGCTGAATTTCCGTCCGATCATCGGAATTCTAAGCCATCC